GACAGGGACCTAGCAGAGGAGACACCAGGGAAGGAGGGAGCCAGGACAGTGTAGTACCAAGGAAGTAAGTGATGTGTCAAAAGCTCCTCAGTGACGTGATGTCCAAGAAACAGCCGTCAGATTTAGAAACACAGTAGTGGGGGAGAGCGTTTCAGTAGGAAAGTCAGGACATAGCTTGAGAGAATAGAACAATACCGGCCCAACATCTGAAACCAGAATTGGGTTTTCTATTAAAAAAAAAAGGCCACGTCATAGCTAGAGCATGAAATGTCCCTGTTCGAATCCTCCGATTTCTATTATTACCCTCAGAATAAAATCCGAACTCCTTCCCATGACCCACGAGTCCCCACAGATCCGGCGCCTGCCGTATGTGACTTCACCTCCTTCCACCAGCTGCCTCGCCCTGCCCTCGCCATATTCGCCTTCTCGCTCTTCCTTACAACCCACCAAGCTTCTTTCTACTCAGAGCCTTTGCATTTTTGGCTCTTCCTCTAACCTGGACGATTCTTTCCCCATTTACTTGCATGGCCTTCCTGGACTACTATATCTAAAATGGTACCTGCCCAAGGCGTGGCCGGGTGGCTCCGTTGGCTGGAGCATCAGCCTGCACACCAAAAGCTTGTGGGTTCGATTCTGGGTCAGGGCACATACCCCGGTTGCAGGTTCAACCCCCAGTTGGGGTGTGCATGGGAGGCAACCGATGGATGTTTCTCTCACACATCAATGTTTCTCTCTCGCCTGCTTCCTCTCTCTCTCAAATCAGTAATTAAAAAAACACCTGATTAAAAATAATTAAAAAAAAGTAAATAAAACGTCTACTTGCCCAACATCTTTGAAGTCAGTCAGCCTTGCCTGGAGAGATGACCTTCTAAAGGGGAAATCTATAGTAGGCAATTTTTGATGCTGCTAAGGGAAAAATTATTTGTAAAAAGCAAAGAAAATCTTTTAAATATGGGCTCACTTGCTTATGGAGCTATTGATTTACTTAAAATGCTATTAGCAATAGGACTTCAAAGGTTTCCAGTAATGGACTCTCTTCTTTCACCCAAGCTCTCAGAAAACCGCCACCACCACAATGGACAAGCTTACATCATGTATAAAAGGGAATGGGTTTGAGGAAAGGTGAACACACATAAAGTTTAGCACTTCAGTAAGTTTGTACTTTATAGTTCAAGTTACTCTTAATTCTCTAGATGGTTCTAGGTGCTGAACTAGTCTTCAAAGTCACCATCCCTTGATTCCTCAATCCCACCACAAATCATTTCTGTCTAAATCTAGGGATATCTCCATCTGAAGATCAGTTTTATTATCATTTTGTTGTGGTCTTAAGTTATTTTCACCTTCCAATCATTTAAAATATAGACCATCTCTTCAAAAATAAAGACGTCCAAGTGATTCAATGCCAAATCGCCAACGTCAGTAGTGTGAGGTGACTTCTACCAGCATAGCAGCAAGTGAGGACAGATAGAGGAACATGGGCAGATTTGAGGGACACTTAGGAAACAGAACTGTAGAAAATTGAGAATCGGTGGTGAAAAGTGAGGGAAAGTAAGAAATTAAGGAAGATGACCAGGTCCTGGCTTAGACTACTGGAAGGGCAGCACTGTCCATCAAGACAGGGGAGAGGGGGTTAAAAAATAGGAAAATCAGTTTGGGGCATATTGAATGCGGGGGGCCTGCAAGAGATGCGCTTCAGGTAGGTGGCTGTATGGGCGCCAAGTGCAGGCGGTTAGTGAGTAAGTGAATGACTCTGCACAACATCTTAGGCTCCTTGGGCCTGTTTCTCCATTTGTAAAGTAAGGATGTTGTACAATCTCTAAGATGCCTCCCAGCCCTAAAACACCCATGATCTCAACTTCATCAGTAATCTTAATTTGGGTTGCATTCCTATTTCCTTCTTAAAAATTTGGAGTATCATGCCATGTGCACTTTACTTTGACAATGTAACAGGAACTATGAAACTACCTGGACGCTGAGGAATTCATAAAACTTTGTTTTCTCTTAAATTTTAAGTGAAACAGTGGCTTCCCCTTACTGATGAAAAACAAATTTAAGCTTGCTGGCCTTTCTTGAGGAGAATACAGTAATTTTAAAAATCATTATAAAAAACTGCTGAAAATGTCTTCTCCATGAATTCCTCCCCTCATAGTTTTGGAGAAGTTGGAGACATCCCTCTAACCGGGGAAAGGAGGGAGGAAACACAGAGGGCAAAAAAATGGGGCTTAGGTTTGACAACATCCACGAGGTCTTCTGTATCACGATACATTTCAAAAGTAAAAAACCATTTAATTTTGAAATGCAAAATCAAGAAGCAATGGAAACAAAAGTTACACAGGTCTCCTTAAGTTTTACCACCCAGAATTATTTCAGTATTAGGAATTCTGGAATTCTGTCCAACTTCTTTCCTAACTGCACACAGCCTCTAGGTGATTACAAGTTATTTCCAGGTTAAAATTAAGCCTCAGGGAGGACGGGACACTAACCTAATCACTCTGACATATGTGCAAGTAGCCCTGATACTAAGCGAAACTCTTGGTTCAAAGACAGGCTTTGTGGAGTAACTGACATGGAACTGGCTGGCCATTTGAAAAGCAACAGTACAGAATACAGAAGACCCATTTGAGAGCTTTTTTTTCTACTGCCTCAGGAGGAAGTATCATTGTTCGGGTGAAAAAGAATCCCTCCGACTTAAAATCTTTAGCAAAATACCAACTGGGCAAAATGACCACCACCACACACTGGACTGTACGTTATGTCTTTAGTGCTCCCTGTTGGATCAGCACACAACTGATACATCCTGAAGCATTATCCCAATTTTATTCTCCCAATTTTAAGGACCTCCACATGCCACAGGGTGGGTAGTGCACAAGCTAGTAAGGTAGATAAAAAGTGAGCTCAGGAATGAAACAAATGTGAATGGAAATTATTCCCTTATAAAATTATTCCAGTTTAAAAAAATTGCATTTTAACAAAGCAATGTTTATTCTATGAAGTACATCTGTAACTTTTATAACACAAGGCAAAACTGCACTGTGACTAGAAACACGAGCTTTGGCATAAGCAGACTATGGCTTTAACGTCTTGAAGCCTAAATCTCTTCAGTAAAATGAGGACAATACGCTATAGGTTTCTTTGAGGCCTGGAGTTGACTCCAGATCTCATATTATTAATACTGACTTTTATAAAGGACCACTGTGTGCATGATGCTAAAGTGATGACCAAGCAGGTACCCTAGTTTCAATTTCTCTGATGTAAAAACTTTCCTACTTACTTGTGGGTATTAACTTGATGTGAAGACTATAAAGCAAATTTCTGAAAACCTGTAAATAAGCATGAGAGGTTACATTTCATAATTCACAGGAAAGGTATAAACAGTTAATTCTTGATTTTTCAAACCCAACTGTAATATATAATCCAAAGGTTGTTCTGGTATTGAAATACACTATGGTTTTAAGTACTGTCCCAACATTTTTTCATTTAGGTTACTGGCTATCTGTTTATATTACAAGTTAAGCCACACTCGGAAACTTACTGGGAGACACAAAACACTTAGTAGCAATCTTGTTAAACATGCCCCACATACCAGTTAAGGTGGTTAATCTAGATTTAGCTGTAACATATCCCCAACCCAATGAATATAATGTATTAGGTAACAGACTATAAAAAATCTGGATACAATCAAGGATGACTATGTAAGTCAATAAGATGAACTATACATGAACTTTCAGTTAAAAATATACCTTAAAAAAGTATGATCAAAAGCTTCCATTTCTACTATTACTTTCTCCTCTGGTAATTATTCTCTCTTATGTGAAGAGTAAGAAAAAGTCCTTTTGTATTTCATGATAGGTTTAATTGGGTAATGAAAACAAATTCTTTGATATCATCTGATATGTCCAATTACATGGGTAGGATGTAACAAAAACAGTTACAAACTTATATATGCATATTTACATTATATACCCCAAACTACCAAGCTAGTCAACTATATCTAAGGAGATACATTATGACATGAGTTAAACAATACTTCATTGCTTATTAGAAAGAATGCAGTCAAGCTTTTAATGGAAGGAATATACAAGTGAGGCACTTTTGAGGTCAAGAATTGAAAGCAAATGACACTACATACTGGCAATGTTCACAAAAATCTATGTGTATCTTTAATACAAAAGCTTTCCAACTCGGTTATTTTTGAAAATTTTCAAAACTAGCAACTTATGCAATTTAAGGAGATTTCAGAAACAAAGGCTAACATAAGTGAATCAGAGCATATGAAAGTTTTATAACCACCTGGTTGCTAGGCAAACAGTACCTTAATACCTTAAAGCCCTTTTTTTTTGGTTTATATAAATCACCTCAGGTTGTGATTTCTTTTTTGTTTTGACGTACTGCAAAATGCCTTATGGTACCATTATCATGGTTTACAAACCAAATTTTTTTTTAAGTGCAACAATAATGCAGGTTTCTAGTGCTTTTCCTTATACTTAGAAATGTGATTCTGGAGTTCAAATTATGAATATTTATTGAAGAATCTGTTTTTTTCAGGTAAGTAAGGTTTCAAAGTTTTATGTAGAAAAGTTACACTTGCTTAAAGTATCTTTGGGCTACAATTAAAAACCCACTCTTAAACATACTCTGAAGTGTAACAGCAAGACTGAAAAAACATTTCAACATAAGAAGCATCCCTAAGATTTATTAAATATGGAAGAAAATACAGTTCCTGTAGCCTGTAAGAGAATTTTATGGATATTAAGAAACACCTTTGTGGTGTTCAATTAAATGGGGGTTGGAGTTGGGGGCGGGAATAAAAGAAAAAAGCAGGACTTACCTAAGATACCAGATGGCACTATAACAAGAATTAAAAGTGCATTTGGATTACTTCAAAAGTTCCTATCAGGCACTGCTGAAGAGCCAATGAAAACAGGTAGTTTCAGTTTTCCCCTTTATGTTTTTACCCTGCCCCAGCATCCCAGAGACATAAACACACACTCCCTCTGAAGTTGTCTTCATGTAATATAGGTGATGTTTATTTTCTTTAAAAATTCTCCCTGACTAGCAATGGGAGGAAAAGTAAGAATACCATCTTGGTAATGGCTTTAGCAAGTTAAAGGAATCGGTTCTATAAATGCTTCGGCACAGCCATTAATTAAGTTTGATTGCCAGTTCCAAGTATCAATAAATATTTTAATACAGGATATATGAGAAAAAAGTGCTTAAAGTCTTCCAGCAACCAGTAAGACACATTAGGGAAAATACTCCTTTTACAGTCTGAGATACTTTATTCCTGCTTTCTCCATGTGGAGGTGGCCACCCCCCACAGAGCCCTTTCCTGATAATAGTGAGGGACCTGGTGAGACCCCAACCGCCACCTTCCGTCTCTGGCTGTAAGTCAGCCAGTAGGTGGCGCTGAAGTCCCACACCTCGTATTTCCTCAGAAACCAAATGAGTTCGTCCCTCACCAGCCCCCCACCTTCAAGGCTGGAGAAAAATCATTTCCAAATGATCAGGTCTGAACACAACAAGCCATCAGACCAGTCTTTCTCATCATGCCATCTAGGTGGTTTCCTTCTCAGTGTGCACTATTACTTAAGCGGCTCTGTTTCGCCATTTGCTTACACCACCAGATTAAAAAGAGAAGGGACCTAGAAGAAAAGGCAGCTGGCAGCGTTCAACCTGCATGCAGAACGAGGAAACGCCCTGCACGCGCCTCCACACATTGAAGAACAAGAAATTTAAATCACCCGTTAGTTTTCATGTAAGAATTCTGATTTACGCAAGAGAAATTTTCCACATAGGGATTCAGGTAACATTATATTACTAGTTAGTCTTCTAGACCAATTTGGAAACTGGGTGTGTTAACTATAAAGATCCAAGGTGAAATAAAAACCGTTTTATCACCATGATTTTTAATGAAGAAACTTGTTTAAAATTGTAAAGGAAAAAACGGGGATGGGATGGCAAAATCTTAGCAGCAAAGTGGTTAAAACAATTTGAAAATATTAATGCACAAACATTAAAATATTAAAGCATATATGTTGCATATAAAATACAGTACAGAACCAGGAGTTGCACTATACTGATTAGTGCTCAACAGAAGAAATGATTATATTTGTTCTTCCCAGAAGTATATACACAGTTCGTTTCCACAGCATTTTCCTATATAATAGCCAGCAAGTTATTTTCTTCAGTTATTCACACCTTGCTCAAACCTGAATTATAAACTCTGCACTTACAAATATGAAAATTTATTCACAAGGAAAACCAATATTCCCATTCCACCAATAAAAAGTAATTTTGAAAGTTAACAGTCTATTCTAGGTAACCAAGTTTAGCTGAAAACTTCAGGGATGAAGATCATCTGGTGTAGCAGCGTCCAAATATATAAACAGTAAAAATAAGACTTAAAACTGCTGCTACAGTGTCACGTTTGGATTTAGTGCATCCAATTGATTTTTAGTACAAAACTAGAAATAACCTCTTCTTCATAACATCTATAGTTATCAATATATTTCTTCTTTTCAATGTGAAATAATACTTCAAGATGATCTATATACACAATGTTGTCAGTTCAAGCTGTCATATAAATATAAAATGCTTTCTTAAAAAAAAGTATTTTACAGACAGGTAGTGTTATATACATTGTTCAGTTTGATCTGGGGCAAAAGAAGACAGCTAACACAAGCTTAAGTGTGAACATAAAAAGAATGACACATAAATGACATTTAAAAACCTGCATAGAAAATTAGCTTCAAATGGTAGTGTGAGTTTAATGTTTATCACTTCTGAAACTTCAAGCCATTGAAAAAAAGGCACGCTTCTCAACTTTATCCCTCTAAGGGAATGTTCTTAAAGAACCTCTTCCTTGATTAGAGTTTGAATGTAACACTTAAAAAAATTAAGACAATTTGATCCCAAAGTACTTTAAATAATTTGTTGGAACATTTATCCAACGACTTTGTAAAAAAAAAAAAAAATCCAGTAATACAATGCTCTGCAAAAGAAATAAATTTTTATGTACAAGATATTTCATTCACAATGTTGGATTAAATACTTCCCTGGGATAGTTTAGCACACACTTTAACATAAAATAATCTTGCTTCTGGCCGGTTTAAATACAGTAAAATAAAATGCAACTGAAAAAAGCTATTGTTGTTACATGAATAATGAGCACTGAGTATTAAGCTAAAAAAAATTAGTAACACAGCTGAACAAATTCTGGGTTAGCAAAATGATAAATGGAGATCTCAGGAGGAAACTTTGACATTAATTATCCAGTTACACTTTTTTGCCTTGTAAAATATTTGTAAATGCAATATAATTTTCTTGAAGGAGGAAACTCTGAAAGAAAACAACTTGCTGGTTGAATACCACAAAAAACAAAACAACAATCCCCAAACCTCATTTTTTTCTCTGTTTACTCAGTCTCTTTTTATATAAAAATAAGTGTTACGTTCCCATCAGAACACTAGACAATTACATCTGTGCTTTAAAAAAAAGTTGGTCACTCAAGGCTATTAGAATATTTTTAAGAATTTTAGATTACCAGAATGTACAGATATAACTCAATATAAACCGTAGCCAAAGGGAAATGATGGAAATATCAAATCATTCACATGGAATAAAAACGTTGTATTAACTAGATGAGTAAAATATTCAAAATATAATGGAATGTGACAGTAGATATATGCACATCTACTTCAGAACTAGGAAGGGGAAGAAAAGTTTAATATGTCATAATTCGTACCCTATATTTAGTTAAATATAAACATTTGTTATTTATACATAAAACCGCTTTCAAAAAACAATAAATGATTTAGTTGCACTTGTTTAACTTCTTATAATGTCCAAGTGTTAACTTTTCTTAGACTGAAATCAGTTGTCCCCTAGTGCACTTTTAGTTCATGTCCTAATGAATTCAAACCTTTAAAAGTCCCATCACCTAATACATAAATATACAAAAATGCCAAAAATTAATCCCTTTTAGTTGGATCATGTTTTAGGTTCACTTTTTATAGCCGATAACCAGAAATGGTTTCCTTTCGCAAATATGCTTTACAACCTGTAACAAAACAAGCCATGCGCTCAAGGGAAAAGTTAGGCATGGCGGGCATCCGTGAGACGCCAAGAACTGAGGAGTTCTGCCTCCTCCACGAGTGGCCCCTACGACCCCAGGCAAGATTTCATGTTGCTTGCCGAAAGCTTCCACAAATCCAAGTTAGCTCATTCCTGGAAACAAAGATTACAAACTCATCCCGGCACTGGACCCTTTCATCCAGCAGCTTTGTGTTTCCCACCACAACACCCACACGCCTCCCCACAGCGGTGGCACATTCTCAGAGGGACGTAGCAGCACATACACGGCACAATGAACGACAGAGCTACCAGCGCTAACCATCGCAAGCAGAACTTGTCATCGCTAGTGTCACATGAACAGGGATCAGAAAAATCTCCCTCTGAGTCCGACATACAATGATACAACATGCTCTCGGCACAGAGCATGCAACTAACTTGATATATGCATCTCTTAATGGGGTCTGGAGCATCCTGGCACTTCCCCCTGCCATTTTCTTCATGATTAAACCTCTCCTGGCAGTATACGCAGCGAGAACGTTCACCATCTTCTTTCCTTCGTTTTGACTTTTTAAATTTTAATGAGGAAGGCTGTGTCTTGAATTCCTCAGAGTCTTTGAGTGAACTTAACTTAGTCTCATCTCCACAAGAGTACAGATAGTCTGATTTTTTACTGTCTGGTTTAGAAAACTGAATACTGGAGTCATTATCATCTCTCTCCAAGTCATTTTTCCACATGTCAGGATGTCTGTAGTCTGCATAGCGACGTATTAAGATGTCTCGTGGGTTTATTCTGACGATCTCATCCTCATCTTGAAAGCTGACGTGTCGGATTGATTTCAAAGGGACCTAAAAAGGAAGAGATGAAAACTGCAATAAAAACCGTAAATGCAAATTTTGTGTGTCAACTTGACAGGGCCACAGAGTCCAGATATTGGTCAAACATCACTCTGAATGTTTAAGTAAAGACGTATCTTGGCTGAGATTCACATTTCAATCGGTGGGCTGTAATGAGTGAAAATCATCCTCCACGACATAGGTGAACCATATCCAGTCAGCTGAAGGCCTGAATAGAACAAAGACTGACTGCAGCTCTTCTCTGCTTCTCAAGCCCGACCGCTTTCCCTGCGGCTTGTGGACACATACCTCCACTACCACATGCGCCGATTCCTTAACAAGTTTCCGTATATATGCACATCTTATTGATTCCGTTTCTCTGGAGACCCTGACTCATATTTTGGTATCGAGAAGTGGGCTGCTGTAACAAATATCTAAAAACATGGAGATGGCTTTGGAACTAGGTAACGGGTAGAGGCTGAGTTTCGAGAGTTTCAAGGCACGTTATAAAAAGCCTTGAAGAGACTATTGGTAGAAATGCGGACTTTAAAAGGGTTTCTGGGTGAGACCCCAAATGGAAATGTGGTAAAAAAATGTGAACAAATTGGATTCTAGTGTTTTGTGGGAGGTAGAACTTGTGAGTAAGCATGTTCTGAAGAAAACACCAAAGGCGTGGCCCTGCCGGGGTTGGCTCAGTTGGCTGGAGTGTCGTGCTGTACACCAAAGGCTGCAGGTTCAATTCCTGGTCAGGGCACATACCTAGGTTGCGGGTTCGATCCCCAGTCAGGGTGCAACCGACTGATGTCTGTCTCTCTCTCTAAAACTCAGTAAACATATCCTCAGGTGAGGATTAAAAAAAAAAAATACCAAAGGTGTGGCTAGACAATCATAGGTTTAAGAGGTTGTGGGTGTGACTCATAGATCTTAACAACCATCTCAGCTGAAATGCTGCCAGGCTGGATCTAAGGGGACAGAGTTGAGAGGAAACGAATCAAAGCTGTTGAAGTTACAGTATTTAGAAGGACTGGCAAACAGAGCTATCTGGCTGAGAACACGCATTATCTTTTAAGGGAAGAAATGAGAATGTTGGGGCTGTCTCCTCAGTTCAACAGGACAGGGCCACTTCCTCAAGCTTCAGTGGGCCAGGAAGCCTAGGGCCAAGGGCATGGGGCCACCCTTCCCCGAGGACAAAACATCAAGCCAAAGAGGATTATTTTCAAGCCTTAAGATCTAATGGAATTTGCTCTGCTAGGGTTTGGACTTGTTTGAGAAGCTCATGACTCTTTTCTTCTTTCCAGTTTCTCCCTTTTATAATAGAAATGTGTATCCTATGCCTTTCCCGCCATTATATTTTGGAAGCAGGTAACTTCTCTGGTTTCCCAGGTAGAGAGGTATTTTGTCTCAGGATGAATCATACTTGAGTCTCACCCACTCCTGATTTAGATGAGACTTGGGACTGAGTGCTGATGCTGGAATGGGTTAAATTTTCGGGCTGTTGTGATGAAGTGAATTTTTACATGTGAGAAAGGCATGAATTAAGGAGGACCAGAGGGTAGACTATTATGGGCTGAATTGTGTCTTCTCCAAATTCACAAGTTGAGGCCCCAACTTCCACTAACTCAACAAGTGACTACATTTAGACATAGGGCCTTTTAAAAGGTGATCAAGTTGAAACGAGGCCCTTGGAGTGAACCCTAATCCACTACGACTGCTGTACTTTGTTGTTATTGTTAATCCTCACCTTAGGATATTTTTTCCATTGTTTTTTTAGAGAGAGTGAACCAGGGTGGGGAGGGAGGAAAAGGGAAAGGGGGAGAGAGAGAGAGAGACATCGATGTGAGACACACAAATTGGCTGCCTCCTGCTGCACCCTGAGCGGCACCGAGGATCGATCCTCCAACCCAGGTACTACCCTTGACCAGGAATAGAACTTGCGACCCTTTAGTGCATGGGTCAACGCTCTAACAGTGGACTGATATACGTTTAAGAAGAGGAAACTGAACACAAAGAGAGACACTGGGAATGTGTATGAAACAGCAGAGAACAGCAAGGACACACCAAGAAGGTGGCCACTTGCAAGCAAGGAGAGAGGCCTCCGAAGAAACCAAATTGCTAACACCTTGACCTTGGACTCCAGTTTCCAGAATCATAAGAAAATAAATTTTTGTTGTTGTTCCAGCCACCTAGTCTGTTGTACTTTGTTATGATAGCCCTAGCAAACAAATATACAAAGACATACTTTTCAAAGCTTGGCTATGCAGTTCTCTGAAAATGACTTAAAATGTACCACACCACATACGCATACATGTACACGAACACATATACACAACCCTCCTAGCCCCTCCTTCTGGGTAGACTGTCTCCTTGAGGCCAAGAAGCAAAGGAAATCTTTTGGAGATAAATCATATGGGGTCTAAATCAAAATGACCCTTTTTTTACCCACACAGATGGGCTTTTATAAGTCATATTTGTATCTCCTAGCCCCAGTCCCTGGACAGTGACTAGTCTACAAGCAAACACCTGACCCAGGTTGGGGCAAACTTCTATTCCTCAGATATTTGGTATTGAGGCTAAAAAAATTCCAGGTCTGGGCTAAAGGTGAAGTGATTAATGCAGTCCATTAAATTAACAACGTACAATTCTTATTGGTTCTATCTGGTGATAAATACACTGTCGATATCCCCCAGACACACACCAGAAATTTGGATAGAACTTATGTATTTGGGTTTACAAACATATATGTAGCAAATTTATACACTAAAACTCTTTTTCTTATGCAATTCAACTATATAGAGAATTAGAAGGACTAGAAAATTTCACTTAAATGTTCATTAGTTATAGCCCACATCAGAAGATAAACTAAGATAACTTACCTTATTTTGGGACTTTAGGCCTCCACATTCCTTGGATATCTGCCGCTGTGCATATTCTATACTTCTGCCTGGAATGTCTAGGCTTGGATGACTGAATGTTATCTAAAGCACAAATAATTTCTATTTAAGTGACAAAAGAATGCACTTCTTACGTTTAATAAAACTATATACAGTGTAGATTCCAAAATTTCACAGCCTATTAGTGGTGAAGATTTTCAAAATGTTGAGTCATCCTATTTATTATATAAATGTAGGTCTTTGCTTATACACTTAAAATTTAAATTAAAAAGTAATACGCCAGGCTGGGCGTGGCTCAGCAGTTTGACTCCCGGTCAGGGCACATGCCTGGGGTGCAGACTCGATCCCCAGTCAAGGGTGTGCAGGAGGCAGCCGATCAATGACTCTCTCATCACTGATGTTTCTCTCTCTCTCTCCCTTCCTCTCTCTGAAATCAATAAAGATATATTAAGAAAAAAAGTAATATAGAATTCTGGTTTCTGGTTCTGCATGTAAGCAGCTTTTAAGTTGCCTCACTGTCCTAACAAGTAAAAAAAGAACACAATCAACATCACTTCTCGGGTCCATAAGAGAGAGAAGGGCACAAGGCAAGCCACTGCCTCCAAGACTGGAGAGACAGACAGAATAAAGAAAGTAACGGCTTTATAGAGCAGACTCATGAGTGATAAATGCCATGGAAACCAGTGCTGGGGTAGGAAAAGCTGAACTGTAATTGAAGAACTGCTGAGAGCTCAGTGTGGACAACAATGAGTTAAATACTCCAGGAGGTCCCAGTCATAGTAAGTCACCTAACTCCTGTGAGTTCACCTGCAGGAGGCTCAGCCAGGTCCCCACAGTAAATATCAGAAAAATCCCAAATGCTTCCAGTAGGGGGAGGGGAAAAAAAAGAACCATTTTGAAATTAGCGAGCACTTTGCTTTTAACAAAGTCTGTCCTCAGGAGAAACTAGTTAACCAGAGTCTGACCTCCTGGGGTATCATCAGAACCTATCTGACCTAGGGAAAAAGAAATACACAACTCCAGTCCACTCTAACCACTCCACCCACCCCAGGCAGAGGAGGAAAAACTGAGAAACGTTTGTGCATGGCTCAGACTAAAAGAGACCCAATCACAGGACTGTAAGAATGTCTCCTCTCCCTACACACCACTGCATTACTAAAGGCCTATTTACAAGAGTTCCTTTTACCCAGTACATCATGTGGAGCTATCAAAAAAATATTACAAAACATATCAAACAGCAAAAAACCAGAATCTGAAGAGACAGAGAACAAGCATCAGAAACCAGACATGACAGGGATGCTGAAACTGGGAAAGCAGGAATTTAAAACAACTATGATTAATATGCTCAGGGCTCTAATGGATAAAGTAAACAGTATGCAAGAACAGATGGGCAATGAGAGGAGAGATGGAAATCCTAAGAACAACAACAAAATGCCAGAGATCAAAAACGCTAAGAGAAATGAAGAATGCCTTTGATGAGCTTAGTAGAGTAGACACGGCTAAGGAAAGAATCTCTGAGTTTGAGAATGTATCAATAAATACCTCAAAACCAAAGCAAAAAGAACACAGATTGGAAAAAATGAACGAAATATTCAAGAACTGTGGGATAAATGCAAGAGGCATAGCATACGTGAAAAAGGAACATCAGAAGAACAGAAGAAATCTTTGAAACAATAATGTCTGAGAATTTACCCAACTTAATGTCAACCACAGACCCAGGAAGCTCAGAGAACACCAAGCAGGAATAAATGAGCCAAAGTGAACCTAAGCATAATATTTGCAGACTATAAAAATAAAATCAAAGAAAAAAAGAAAATCCTGAAAGAAGCCAGAGGAGGAAATACCTTTCTTATAAAGAAGCGAAGATGAGGATGACATCTGACTTCTCCTCAGAAACCATACAAGGAAGAAGACAGTGGAGTAAAACATTTATAAAGTATTGAGAGAAAATGCCCACCAACCTACAGTTCTGTACCCTGTGAAATTAGCCTTCAAAAGTAAAGGAGATAGATATGAACAATTCCTCAGGTGAACAAACATCAAGGAAATTTGTTCCCAGTACACCTGCCTAAAGAAATGTTACCAGAAGTTCTAAATTTCAAGAGATGGAAAATAGTGTAGGTCAGAAACTCGAATATACATAAGAATGGAAGAATATTAAAGAAAAAATAAGTAAAAATGGAATAAAACATTTTATTTTCTAAGTTTAATTGATCTAACAAAAAAGTATGTTCAGAAAGACAGCAACAATGTCTTACATTATCAAGTACATGCTTATATATAGTAAAATGCTTATATATAGTAAAATCACTATATATTGCTTATATATAGTAAAATGAGTAACAGCAATGATATAAGGGATGGGAGGAGGAAACTAGGATTATTTTATTATAAGATACTTGCTCTACGTATAAAGTAGTTTAGTGTTATTTGAAAATGGACGTAAATTAATTGTAACTGTATATTGTAAACTGTCCAGCCACCACTTAAAAAAGAAAGAAAGTATAACTGATATGTGAAAAAGGAGAGAAAATGGAATCTCATAAAATGTTCAATAAATCCACAAAAGACTTTGGGAAAAGTGAAATACAAAAATAGAAACAAAGAACATGGGTAACAAATAGAAAATTGTAACAAATATGATAGAAATTAGTCCAACTATATCAATAATCACTTTGAACATTAATGGCCTAAATATTCTAATTAAAAGACAGAGATCGCCAGAGTGAATTAAAAAAATAAGACCCAACTATATGTTGTCCATAAGAAACCCACTGTAAATATAAAGATACATATAAAGTAAAAGTAAATGGATGAAGAATAATATACCATGCCAACACTAATCAAAAGAAAGCAGGAGTGGCTGTATTCATTTCCAACAGACTTCAAAGCAAGGAAAATTAACAGTGATAATAAAGGATATCACTGGAAAAGGGGTCAGTTCTCCAAGAAGACATAACAATCCTTAGCAAATATGTGCTTAACAAAAGAGTGTCAAATTCCATGAGGCAAAAACTGATAGAGCTGCAAGAAGAAATAGATGTACCCACTATTGTAGCTGGAGACGAAATGGACAGATCCAACAGACAGAAAATCACTAAGGACAAAATTGAACACAGTAATACCATCCGTCAAGTGGATATAATTGACATCTGCAGACTCTACTTCATCCAGCAGCAGCAGAATACACATTCTTCTAACCCAGAAAGACCACATCCTGGGCCAAAAAAACAGATCTTAACAAAAATAAAAAAAAGAATTCTTACAATGCCTGCTCTCAGGCCACAAAGGAATTAAGCCAGAACTGAGTAAGAGAGAGGTAACTGAAAAATTGCAATACACGTGTAGATTAAATAACATACTTCAAAGTAACGTGTGAGTCAAAAAGAAATCTCATGAGAAATTAAAAGGTATTTTGAACTAAATGAAAACAAAACAACTTATCAAACTGTGGGATGCAGTGAAACAAGTGCTTAGAGAGAAATTGATAGCACTGAATGCATATAATTAGGAAAGAAGACACATCTAAAATCAGTAATGTAAGTTCTCACCTTAGCAAAGCAGAAAAAATCCAAAAGAATAAGAATAAGAATTAGAATAGAAATCAATAAAGAGAATTAACGAAATAAAAAACTAGTTCTTTGAAAAGAATCAACAAAATTGACAAGCCTCTAGTCAGGCTAGCTAAGAAAAAGAGAGGACACAAAGGACTAATATCAGCAATGAAAAAGGGAATATCACTACAGATCCCACGAAAATTAAAAGGATAATGAAAGAATATTATGAACAGCTCTACACCCACAAATTTGATAGCCGAGATGAAATGGATTGATTCCTTGATAGGCACTATCTGCCAAAACTCAATAGACAATTTGAATAGGCCTGTATCTATTAAAGAAGCTGAATCAATAATTTTTCAAAACAGAAAGCACCAGATCCAGATGGGTTCACTTAAGGAATAAATTATGCCAATTTTCTACAATCTCCTACAGAAGATCCAAACAGAGGAAATACTTCCTAACTCGTTCTATAAGGCCAACATTACTGTAATACAAAAACATTACAAGAAAAAAAAAATCCCTACAGACCAGTTATCTCAAATAAGCATTGATGAAAAAATCCTCAACTAAATATCAGCAAGTCCAACCCAACAATGTACAAAAAGAATTACATGCCATGACCACATGGGATTTTTCCCAGCTATACACGGCTGGTTCAACATTTAAAAATCAATTAATGTAATCCATCAACAGAGTAAAAAAGAAAAAGCACACAATCTTATCAACAGATAGAGAAAAAACACTTGAAAAAATCCAATACCCATTCATGATAAAAACTCTCAGTAAACTAGAGATTGCAGAGAACTTCCTCAACTTACAAAGAATACCTACAAAAACTTTACAACTAACATCACTGTTAATGGTGAGAAATTTGAAGCTCTCCCGCTCAGATCAGATACAAGGCAGGAATGCCCCCTCTCGCCACTCCTTTCCAACACTGTACTAGAATTTCTAGCTAATGCAATAAGACAAGATAAGAAAATACAAGGTATAGTTTGAGCGAAGAAATAAAACTGTCTTTATTCTTAAATAACATGATCACCTCTGTAAAAAAATCCAAAAGAATTTCAACAAAATAACTCCTGCAACCAGTAAGTGAATTATACATAGCAAAGCTGCAGGATACAAGGTTAATACACAACAGCCAATCACTTTCCTATATACCAATAATGAACAAGAGGAATTTGATATTTAACATTTGATATTAAAGTATGTACAAGAGCTACAAGAGAAAAGCCACAAAACTCTGAGGAACAAAATAAAAAAAGTAAATGCAGAGATATTCCCATGTTCATGTACTGAGTGACTCAGTATTTTCAAGATATTAGTTCTTCCCCAAATGGCCTATAGCTTCAATACAATCCCAATTAAATCCCAGCAAGTTATTTTGTAGATATCGACAAACTGATTCTAATGTTTATATAGAGAGGCAGAAGACTCGGTAGCCAACACATTTTGAAGAATAAAGCTGGAGTACTGGTATTACCTCATCTCAAGACTTACTATAAAGCTGCATTAAGGCAG